CCTGTGCTAATGTTGCTAACCAGGATCGCATCTGTTGTGTTAAATTTGTACAGGTCTACAATCCTTTATTGGTAATGATGAAATGCAAAACACTCTGAAAACTGAAAGGTTTCCCATAAATTTGTGAGACCTGGCCTGTCTGAAGTCAGTGAGGCTACTGAGAGTCTTGACTTATCCTGTGTAGGTGAATATTTGTTTGCTGCAGAGCTCTGAGTGTGTGGGGGTTTTTTTTTTTGTCGTCCTTTGTGATTGGTTGGTTTTGATTCTAGACCCTGCTGGGGGACGTATAGCATGTACAGTTCAGTAACTTCTAAAATCTGAAAAATTCTCAATTCAGAAACTCATTTGGCCCCAAGAGTTTCTGATCAGGGATTGGGACCTAGATATATGTAATAAGATTATAGTTCCATAAAAGCTGTAAAAATAAAGAGCTTAGACCTAGTTTTACGTCTCTCTGTCTTTAAGTGGCGTTACACTCTAAAACAGGGGTCCAGGACCCCAGTCCGAAAATTACTGAAGTTAGAGAAGCGCGGAAAGGAATGACAGTGGTGCCTCCCCTCGCTTACGCTGAGCTTTGGGAAGTCTGCCTCCGAACTGCGAAGTGCTGGTCCTCTGACCTTCTGGGTCACGTTTGCAGGCCTTTGACAAAAGGCCAGGATACTTCTCATTTCAGGGCTGAGAACGAATAGAGCAGAGGGGATGAGGAGCGCCCTGGGAGCGCAGGTGAGGGCAGGAGGGAGGACCCGGGGAGCCTTGGCTGCTGGCCACTGGGGTCCCAGTCCAGTCCCCCCAGCAGCAACCCCCCATCCCCACCCCGACAGCAGCAGAGCAGGACACGCCGAGGCAGCCGGCAGGACCTGAGGCCAGGACTGAGGACCTGCCCTCTTTCTGTGAGGACTGAGCGCCACTGAGGCCACTGCTGCTCGGCCGCAGGCCCCCAGGTTTTCTCTGGAGGCCAGGGCGCCCACCCTGAGCTGAGAGGGACCCTTCGGGCCTGTGCTCTGCAGGCTAGTCCCTCACCCCACGCTGAGTGTTATGCGGCCTGGGTCCCCAGCCCCTCTCCCATTCAGGAAGCGGAGGGTGGGCTTCTCACACCAGCTCCTTTAGTGTCTCCACGAGTTCAGGTGACGGGTTCTCCAGTGGAGAGTGTAGTACAGATGCTTGCTGTGCGTGCCTCTGTGTGTGTGTGTGTGTGTGTGTGTGTGTGTGTGTGTGTGTGTGTGTGTGTTCCCACGCGGAAGGAAGGGGATGAGATCTCTGAGGCTGGAGCTGCTGGATGGGAGCCAGTCAGGGCAGGCTTTCCGGAAAGCCCCATCCTTTCCCCTTCACTGCAGCTCTGGCCCTGCTCTCCTGCCCCACAGCAGTGTTCCGCCCCGGCTCCAGTTTCTTCCCACGGCCTCCCACTCCTCCCGCTGCCCTTCCCCAGGGTCTGGGTTGAGGTTGGGTGTAGATGTCACTGAGGGACACCTGGGAATTCTATTTTTTCTCTTAGGTGGCCCTCATGTCTGTGGGAAGGTCCCGGAGCCCAATTTCTGCCCCAGCTTTGAGGGTAGAACTCCCCTCCACAGGCCAGGTGGCTTATTATATGACAGCCACTTGTCAGGCACACTGAGCACCGCACTTCTCGCTCTCGTGGTCTTGCTGGGTGCTTCAAGGTCCTGACTCTTGATGGCAGCAGGAGGCAGCAAAGAGGACTGGCGTGGGATCTGGAAGCACAGCGTGCAGTCGAGGGGCAGACTGGCACCGACTGTTTTTACACTCCCCTTCCTCTCCGCCCCCCGACCTTGAATAATCTTTCCAAGGGAAATGTGTACATACACACACACACACACACACACACACACACACACACACACGTTGGAGGGCAGGAAAAGGTAGAGTGATAAATGGAAGGATCCTCAAGTGTGAGGTCTTCCTTTTTCCTTTTGGATTGCCAGTGAGCTGTATCATAGGTTCTGTGACTTTTAAAGTGGGAATGTTTGAATATTCAGGTTGAAAGATTCCTTTATTCTAAATTAACACACATCAGAATGTAATGCCCTACTAGAATGTAAACTCCCCAAGGGCAGGACAGTCTGTGGGTTAGAGCACCCAGCTTGGGGGAGGTGATAGTGCATCTCTTCCCAACTCCATGTCCCAAGCCATTACCTTCGGAGCTTGAAAACAGCCCTGGGGTACTCACACCATGGAAACTGGTAAGTGCCACAAAGCAGCACTTTCCCTTCTGAGAGCTGGTTTCTAAGCATTTGCCACCACTAGACAGGTCTCTCCCCAGCTTCTGGCGCAGAGTAGGTTCTCAAATATATGCAAGGAATGAATAAAGGAGTTAACAATTACCACCAAAAAAAAGAAAAAAAGGAAGAGAAGTAGCATTTTCTAAGTTCAGTTCAACAAATCCTGTGTGCCATGTGCTGCAGGGAGAGAGCGGACTAGCCCAGCATCCAAACTTCCCATCTGGGGAAGCTGCCAGCTCTGCTTTCTGAGGTCCCGGCAGTCGGGGCGCAGACATGCCCCTGTTGGAGTTCAAGTCTACAGGACCGTTTTCTGTAGGTGGCATGGGACAGCGTTGCCTAATGTAGTGGTTGCAGTAGTCTGGTGTCCAGCAGGCCAGGTCCTAACCAGAGCTGCTCCTGGGCCGTGAACTAGGACCTTGGCAGGGGTTCCGGCCCATTTCGGTGCCTGACTCTTCAGCTTCCTGTCAATTCTATGAGCTCTTGAGGTCCTTCATCTAAGCAACTTTTCTGTTTCAGTTAATGAAGTTCTTCCTGTGGTTTGCAACCAAGAATGCTGTGTGTTAGGTACGGTTAGGTAAGCAGAGGTCTACTGGGGGAAATGCCAGGGACCAGGAACTGGAGAGAGCAGGAGCACGGGGAGCCTTCAGGATGTAGCCCTGAGGCGTGGCTGCTGGAGGCTGTCAATCAACCATGCCTCCCACATCACACTCTCTTGAGGGACACCTTCAGGAGCACCACAGACCTCTGGTATAGAGGACAGTGAGGAAAGAGACAGATCCCTGCCCGTGCAAAGTTCACAGTTTAGAGAGAGAAAGAGACAAATGTATTACTGTCACAGTTCGCGAGTGCACAGAGGTGTGTGTAGGGAAGGCTTCTTGGAGCAGGTGCCTCCTGAGAGCCCTGAGGCTCTTGGGGTTTTGCCCCCTTCCTCTTCTCTCCAGCTTTCCATCCCAACCCAACCTGACAAAGAGATCCAGCCACGTCGTCACCAAGGCCCCGGACCTGCAGTCTGCAGAGCTGATTAAGATGTAGGGAACCCAGGAGACCAGTGGAGGGAGCATAGGGCAGAAGGGACTTTTTACTGAGCCCCTCACAGGAGCTTTACAGAGCCAGTTACTTCCCTGCTTCATCACCCTCTGGTGTGAAGCTCAAGTGGGCCAGTTGAGGCTTAAGGAGGTGACATGACAAGTTCACAGAAAGCGAGAGGCAGAGCAGGTTCCCAACCCAGGTCGGTCTGTCCCCCAGGCTACCCCCACCCCCCAGGGGAGGGGAGTCTCATGCAGCTAGCAAGTGGCTCAGCCCAGGGCAGAGGGGAAGTTACAGTGGGAGCAATGACCTTACACTTTTTCCTGGATTTTTTTCTAAGCCACCTTTTTTGAGCACACACCAATTGTGTGCACTGGTTTTTGATGAACAATGATATGCTGGGCTTGTGCTCACAACATCCTTCTGAGGCAGCGGGAGTTGAGGTTTGAAGACAAGTCCTTGCCCAAGCCAGGAACTGCTGGAGCCTGGCTGGTGAGTCCAAGGCTGTCCCCTAACACTGTGTGTGGGTGGGGAGCAGGGAATCGTGGGCCTGGGTGTCTAAGAAGGGATCACAGAGGAAAAACAGGAACAGCTGAGGAGGTGCCTCACTGCCCACCCCCTCAGGGCAAGAGAAGCGCTTCCTCCCACTTTCCAGGTGACCTTTGACCAAACTCAGGAAACTCCTGGCTGATGGGGGCGGGGAGTGGGGCTTTTTGAATGGAAGAAACTGTGTTCCTTCTCTAGAGAGGCTTTGGGTCATTCCACTGCCTTTTCTCTGGCAAGCTTTGTCTTTGCCTAAGAGTTCACACGAGTCCCCAGGGGCCCCTGCTACACAGCTGCTGCTTCGCCTCTCCCCGCAGATAGGTAAGAATGGGTCAGATTTAAAATGCTCTGTTTCAGGAAGCATTTTGTCTGAGCCCAGGGAGTTGACCTGCAGGAGCTGGGGTTCTTAAGAGGGGGTGAGCTCCCCACTGGTGACTTTTCTCTGCCCCAGGGGAGGCCAGGGGAGAAATGACCCCTGGCTCCGTGGCTGCAGTAGGCAAGGGACTGGAGGCAGAAGAGGATGAGGGTAAAGGGACCCAGGGCCAGGGCTATTTTCCTGGAGAAGGATGATTTCCAGTTCCAAAAAGGGATGGCAGGCAAGTTGCCTGGGTTGAAAAAAAGGACAACTAGGAAAGGAAATAAAATGTATCATATTTATTGAACCCCGGCTATATCCCAACTAGCACCCTGGGCACAGGTGATAGGGATGCAGGCTTTCTCCTGAGGGACCTCTCAGCTGAGTCAGGGAGACAGATTCCCACAACAGGATGCATCCTACGTCAACTACAGTGGACAGAGACTGAGACTAAGAGGGCACAGGCTCTGCTTCCTGTGGTGTGGGGCCGGCTTCTCAAAAAGATGACATTTGACCAGGGCCTTGAGGGATGAGTAGGCGTCTGCATGGTAGAGGGGGTTTCCAGCGCATTCTGGGCAGCGGCGAAAGCCAGCTGCGTGGTGGGAAACAGCAGCGGGGCTGTGGGAAAACTCGGTTTTGGCCAAAGTATAGAATTCAGGGGGGAAAGACAAGCAGCAGCTGCTGTACGTAATGTGGGTGTGCAGGGGGGTGGCACAAAACTGGAAAGGCTGAGCACAGAGGAAATGGAACTGGAAAGCCACCGGTGCCCGCCCAAGAGTGCCTGCAGAGTGGAGGACAAAGCAAGGCTTAGCTCAGACCCAAGGGGACGGAGGCCCTGGGCATCACCGGTCCCTGTGGTGGCCTGTCCACGGGGGCACGTCCTTCCACTGGGACTGGGGATGGGTGTCAGCAGGGCGGGGTGGGAGGAAATGGGGAGGGGAGAAAGCCAGCCTGCTCTGGGGAGAGGTCTGACCTCCGCAGGCGTTCCGCGAGGCCAGGCCGACGTCCGGGCCGGGGAGGGGGCGGTACCCACGCAGCGGCCCTGCCAGCCTGCGCGCCGGGGGCGTTCCTGGAGGCAGGTAGGAAGGCAGAGGGACCGCAACGCGGCGCCACGGGAGGCTCACCCGCGGGCTGCCGCGTCGAGGAAGTGGGGAGCCCCGAGGTGACCCCGCCCCCGGCTCTGTCCGCCGAGGTGGGAGCTGAGCAGGCCACCGCTCCTCGCCGCGCGCCCTCAGGCTGGGGTGGGGGTCGCCGGCGGGAAGGAGGCGCCGGATGCCGCGGAGGCGCGCGCTGGGTAACCCGGGCGGACCAGCGTCGCCGCGTCCAGCCTTCTGGGGTCTGTCCCCGTCGGTCGCCGTTCTCGGCGCGGGGACCCGAGACGGAGTGCTTCCCCTCTCCGGAGGTGAAGGGTCCTCGGGCCCCGGGTCCTCCGCTGGGGCCGGCACGTGCCCCGCTACCCCGGGCCGCACGTTGGGGATGGCAATTTGGTGCCTTTGGTGGCTGCACCGGCGGGGTCCCTGGGCGGGTGGGGGCGCGAGGCCCGTGCCAGGGGCGGCGGTGCGGCCGCGGGGGCGCCCCCTGGGACGGGCGGACGCTGGGAAGATCCTAGCATCGGGACAGACTGAGGAGGACGTCGCTTTCCGCGTCTGCATGGGTCGTTGTGGGGGTGTGACGCGCGGGAACCCCAGGCGCGAGCTCCGGGTAACCCGCGCCCCGGCACCTGGAAGCGTCCCAAGTATCAATTATAAGTAAAGTTCTTTTCTCTAGTCCTTTCTTCAGCCTCTCCCTTAGCTCTGCAAACCCTGCCCCTGAAGGCAGTCTCTGCAGAGGAGCATCACCTGTTGCTCATCTCCGCCTGAGCCTTGGAACGAGGCGCCCACTGTAGCGCCTTCTTCCCTCCCGCAAGCCGCTGTAGTCACAGGAAGTGCGGGCGCAGGGGCGGGGAGGCAGCCCGCAAGCCGCCTCACCCCTGCTAGCCCCTGGAACCTCTGATTTGGCTGTGAAAAGAACGACTAAATGAATGACTGCTGGTGCTGAGTTAACGGTGCATGCCCGTCGTTAAATGTGCCAGGTTAAATTCTGCTGAATTTGGCTTATGTTTGCTGTTTTAGCCTTGTAAACAGATCATTTTATACTTAAAAAAATAAAGAACTCTGGTAGAATTGCAGATTTTAAAATTTAAGCACACAAGTCAGTACTTGTTTAATGTTTTGCACTGAACGAGGCACATTTCCATTGCTTAGGTCATTCTCTAGCACAATGACATGCACACACATGCACACGTGCTGCACACACCGCGCAGAAGGAACACACACACCAGACTGCACGTAGACAAGCTGTACACAATGCACGTGCACACATTGCAACGCACACACCAAACTCCACAAGGCGCTCTGTAAGCAGACACACCGCATTGCTCACGTGCACACATTGTGCACACGCCCTGCACACACCCTGCTTAAGGAGCTTGCTGTGGAGCTTCCCCACTACAGAGAAATGCTGGCTTGGGTATAAAGTAGGATATAATTAACATTTTTAAAGCATTTAAGTTGAGTTTATAAAAAGTCTTTAGAGACTTTTCAAAAACCTATATCAACGAGTTTTTAGACAACTCGTGTAATGGCTCTTTTTTTTTTCTTCTTTCTTCCTTAAATCTCTAGCTGAGTTAAAACAGTGAATCTGATGGCTTCCATGCTGAACTCCCTGCCTTTCAGCAGGGAAGTATTTTTAATTGTCCTCTTTTCCTCCCCCTGAAACTGAAAGGAGTTACTCTGGGACGGTTACAAGCCCGTTGTAGACAGGCCTTTCCCCCTCCCTTGTGTGAGTGGCGCGGCCGCTGCTGGGAATCCTGGCCTTGCCTCCCGTCAGTCCGTCCGCGGTCCTCCGGGTCACCTGCCGTCACCCGCTGGGAGCGGGAAGGAGACGCCCCCGCCCGCTGCCCTCTAACCGCGGTCGGCGGCCGGGGCCCCGGTGGGGCGGTTCCTGGTCTGCCCCGCCCGCTCCAGCCCGGCCTCTCCCGCAAGCCGAGATGCAGCTGCTCCTGCTCGTGCCGCTGCTGCTGGCCCCGGCGCCCGGGTCCCCGGTGAGTGCAGCCCTGTCCGGCCCCGGACGACCCTCCTTGGGAGACGGTTGCCGGCTGGCGCCCCACCCCCTCCCCCCGCTGCGTTTCCCGGCGGTGGCTACAGTGTAAGAGAGTGCCAAGGTCCGGGAAGATGGGGCGGGAGGAGGCGAGCCCTCAGCCTGAGCTCCTTCAAAAAGAGGTGGGACCCTGAAGCCAGCTGACCAAGGCGCCCAGACCTGCTCCCCCGGCTGGGAGTGCAGTCTGCAACTGCAGGAATGGCAACTCCCCAGCCCCGCCCCCCACCTTCGGAAGGTGCTTGGGTGCACCTAATGCTGGGAACCCCCTCCCTGGAGTGGTCTTCCAAAGCGGAAGGAGGGGGGCAGTGCTGGCACCAGCCAAGGTGCAGAGTAGGTGGCCAGTTCTACCAGACTCCTGCCACCTGCCTGGGACCAAACTCCACCTTCTTGGCCCTTTGGGCCTAGGGGTTCGGGGTGCCAGCCATTTGGCGCACCCCTTAGTGTTGGCACCTGGAGCAGGGCTGTCAGCAGGACTTTGAGAGGATGGAAGTGTTTTGTATCTGTGCTCTCCAATGAGGTAGCCACTGTGTCCACGTGGCTGTTGAGCACGCAAACTGTGGCTGATGCAGCTGAAGAACTGAGTTGTTTTTTTTTTATTTAATTTGATTTAAATTAATTTAAATAGCCCCATGGTGCTAGTGGCAACCGCATGGCGAAAACTTAGAGTGGATGCAGAAAGCCAACTGGTGATCAGAGTAGCTGTTTTATTAACAGGAGCCTAAAGGACAGGGCTCCCTGAAGAATGTAAGTGGGTCATGAGGAGATAAGGGAATCTTTGAGATCCAGGGACCTACCCTTAGGGAGGGGAGGGTTTGCAGAGCTGGGCTGGGCCCTGGAGCTGCTCCTGCCAAGTTCCCCCGGCATTGCTGGGTGGAAGGCGCAGAGGCAGCCAGGAGAGTGCTCCACGGGGAGGACCCGCAGCCTCGCCCAGCCCTCCGTGATCTGGGCCTCCAGCCGGTTGGAGAGAAGGGGCGGAGAAACCGCTGCAGCCTTGGGCAGGAAAATGCCGCCGCAGTGGAAACTCAAGTTGAGGACGAGAAGGACCCCAAAGGGCAGGCAGAGGTGGGCATGAGTCGTGGGCAGCCACACTCCTCCAAAGCCCCACTGGTCCAGCACAGGCCACAGTCAGAGCAGCGATGGGCTAGAGCCTGCCTTCCTCATGTCCTCTCCGCCAGGTTGCCACAGGCAGCCCTGCCATCCCGTGGTCCTTGGCATGGCTTGCTCCTGATACCTGGGTGCACAAAGGCCACAGCTCAGTGGAAGGTGTCACGGCACCTGTGTCAAAACTGCAGGGCAAAACAGAGGCAGCCGCTAACAGCTGCGTGACCTTGAGCAATCACCTGGCCAGGTTCCTTTAATTTGGGGGTAATAATGCCCACCACAGGCTGCTGTGCAGATGAAATGAGTCAAGGTCCACAAAGCGCCCTGGGTCCTTTTAGGTGCTTTCTCCCTTAGAAATACCTGAGTAGCCTTCTACCTCCTCAGCAGTGGGTGAGCTCAGGTGAGGCTGGGCTTGCCTCTGAGAACTCTCCTGCCCCCTCCTCCACTGTCGGGGGAGGCTGTGGCCCAGGCTCACTGCTCAGCTGCCCTGGTTCTGGGTCTGGCTGGGGCAGATCTACCGCGGGATCCTCAAGCAGTTCTTAGGCTGTCCTAGTGCTGGCAGGGGTCAGCTTGAGCAGAGCAAGTGAGAATTGAGAAGGGAGAAAGCAGGGATGTGGCTCTGCCACCGAGTCCCCTTGCCGTCCAACCCCACCCCCAAGCAAATCAGGGGAGGCTTCCTGAGTCAATGGATCCCCAAGCCCCCTTGCCTCCCACAGCGCACACCCTCTCTCATTCCCCCCGCCCCCCGTCCGTCCGTGCAGCAGCAAAGGGGGCTGCTTTTCCCGTGGGAGTTGCAGGAGGCGTGGGTGGGGCGCTGAGAGCAGCAGGAGGCAGGTGAGGGCAGGCCAGGCTGAGGGCGGACTGGACCAGCTCATTCTGGCTTCGCACCGTCAGCTTGCGGTTCGGGTAATTACAGGGAAACAAGATGTGCCTGTGCTGTCCTGAGGCACACGCTTTCTTTCCTTGGGGAGACAGTGAGGAGTCGTGGACAGGGTGCGGCTCTAGGGTCTGACAGTCTAGGTCCCTCAGTCCTACCTGCTGGTGGCCGTGGGCCAGTGGCCGCCTGCCCCACAGGTGCTGCGGAGGGTGAGGTAAGGGGATGTTTGTAAGGCTTGGTATTTAGAAGGCCCTGTGTTCAGGCCACTCCTCCCCCACCCCATCCTGCGCCCACAAGGCTGGGTGGCAGGGGTGCCCCGTGTTGCCTCGTCCATACCAGTAGGCCCACCCCTGCCCGGTGGGGGAAGGTGGGTTGTTGGGGAGGCTCAGTGCCTCTGTTTTAGGAGCAAGACTGACTTCCCGACAGGCCTTGGTCAGAGGGTAGTTAGTAACCAGGCCAAGGCCGGCAGGACGCGAGGGCAGCCGTCGCTGTGGGCAGCTTCCAGAATTCTTAGCCTGTGATGAGGAGGCTGTGTATGTAGGGGGTGGGTGGATACTGCTTGTCCAGGGAAGTCACCTTCCACTCTCAACACTCAACATCTTCCCCTTTAAAACAGGAACTTGATCAAGTAAACTGCATTTTAAATTCTATTAAGAGAACACTTTGATATTCTGGTTCACTGGTTTTTCAAATGCTTGGCTGTTTGTTCCAGTTAGAACCTGAAGGACGAGTAATTTGAAGAGTGAGAGCTAAGACCGTGGGCCTGGCTGGCCCTTCCTTCTTGGTTTTGTGAGTGGTTTGTTGGGCTGCAGGGCTCTGGCTCCATTAGAAGGCAAGGATAAGCAAGTGCCCGTCGCCAGGGATGTTAGAGCTGAGCTGTGGCCAATACGCGGGTGCACAGACTCACCTGAGACCCTGAGACGGTGCTGGGGGCTCACAGCGGGAGGAGGAGCTTGCTTTCCCACATCAGGGCTTGAGTGCTTTCTCTGGAAACTGGGAGTGATTTTTTTTTTTCTTAGAGATTCTTATGTGGTGATGCCTTAAAATAAAGTCCCCTTCCAGCAAACAGGACATACTCCCAGTACACCTCTACCTTCTGGCAAAATAGTGGGGTCAAGTCTAACGCCTGGCCAGCTCCGTAGGGCCCCCTGGGTCTCCCTGGGCTCTGTCGGTCAGGTAGGTGGAGGCAGAGGCCTGGGGGAAGCTGACCTGCTGTTGTGTCCACTCGTTCCTGTGCAGCTCCCTCTCTCTGCCTCAGCTTTCTTACCTATGTCCTGGGGTGATACTACCTGCCCACAGGCTGCTGTGCAGATGAAATGAGTCAAGTTTCATAAAGCATCCTGGAGCCTAGTAGGCACTTTCTCCCTTAGAAACACCTGAGTAGCCTTCGCCACCTCAACAGTGTGTGAGCCCCGATGTCAGGTTGTTCTGAGGAGTAAATGGAAGGACGTGTGTAGCATGTGGACGTCTGATTGTCAGATCTTTCTGGTGGGAAACTATATCTATTAGAATCATATTCCTGTTACAGAGCCCCAAATAACAGTCCTTCAACAAGAGAGAGGTGATCCCTCACCCACTTGAATACCCAGAGGCCAGAAGTCCGGGGTTGTTTGGTCTCACAAAGTCCTCTCAGCTCTAGGATCCTTCTGTCTCTGCTTTACCGTTTGAAGTTTCTATTCCTAAATTACCTCTCAGTGCAGGAGGCTGCTCCAACTCCAGCTATCACATCTGCTTTCCAACCGACAGGGAGGAGTACAGTAGAAAGAAGAAAAAGGACAAACGCACAAGCCAGCTATCTCTTAGGGGGATTACAGGGAGCTGCTGTCCAGCACTTACGTCTCATTGATGAGAAGTTCCTGATATGGCCACGGTCAGCTGCAGGAAGTCTGGGAAATGCATTTTTGGCAGGGGCAGCCTGGTATCCAGCTAGGAGCCAAGGGTTCTCTCACATGGGAGAAGGGGGAGACGTTGGGGGAGCCCTGGGGGTCTGCCCCAGACTGGCAGGATGAAACCACAACCTCTTTCCCCCTCCCCCGACCCCTCCTAGGTTTAGATTAACTAATTTTAATAGGTCAGAACTACAGAAACTCCCAGAAGTGAGGTCACCACACAGGGCAGAAGCAGGTGCGACAAGGCTTGGTGTGGCTTTTCTAGTCTAGGTGCTGGGGAAGCAGGGTGCTGCTTGCGGGCGACATCGCCTGCACAGGAGGGGCCCTGCCTACCTGAGAACGGCCCTGTGCTTCCTGCCATTTTATATGCCCCTCCTGGAAAAACCTGGTCTGCCGACCCAGGGGCCCCCACGCAAGGCAATACGTGCGGACGTCTTGACTGTCACACCAGACTCGGCACGGGCCAGTGGACGGCATCGTCAGGGGGGTAATTCTCTGCCCTCTGCTTGGTGGCATCTCCACTGTGCCCGACAAAGAGCAGGAGCTGCTGGTGGTGGCCACTGGGACGGATACGAAGACCTGCTCTCAGGTCCTTACGGTGAAAGCTGGCTAATTCTGTAGAGTATGTTTGGGGTGTCCGGGAGAGGCAGAGTCCTGAAGAGAGAGAGCGCCCAGACCCCCCCCCCCAGTGGGCGGGGAAGTGCTGTTTTTAGGCAGGGGCCGGGGTGAGCCTCCGAGTGCTCCTGTGGGGGCTCCCGGGCCGGCTCAGGTTCCTGACCCTGCCTTCTCCTCCGGCTCCCAAGGTGAGGCAGCAGAGCGACACCTGGGGTCCCTGGGGTGACTGGAGCCCCTGCAGCCGGACCTGCGGAGGGGGCATCAGCTTCCAGGAACGTCCCTGCTACTCGCAGAGGTAGGGGAGCTAGCACGGGCCAGCTTGTTACCGAAGGGCAGGGGTGCGGGATGCGCTGGGTCCTGCGCCGGCTCACGGTCAGCCCTGGGTCCTACGGGCAAGATCCACCATGCAATAGATTTGTCCTGGGAGCTGCTGGGATGGAGCATTTGAAGTCAAGTCATTTCCCACCTACTTACGCTTCAATTCCATAATCAACTGCATTTCGGCGGAGCCGAGCCTTGCCTGCGTCATCCACCCCGCGGCTCTGGCTCCTGATGCAGTGTGGGCCGATGGTAGGGACAGAAGATCCCTGCTGCATAGTGATCTTCAGCAATGCTGCCCTGTGCCGTTTCTCCCGCAAGTGACTGAGGACTTACTGTGCGTCCTGCGCTCTGATAGGTGCTATAGAGGGGGGGTGCAAAAGAACGGGCTATGACTCCTTGCCTGTCAGTGAGTTTAAATCGCTGTTCCTGAGAACGTTGTGGGAAGAGAAAGGTGAATTACTACTCTAAGCACCTTGTCATTTACTGCTTGGTTGGCAGGATTACCTTACCAGGTGAGGATATGCTGTATCTTATTTTATCTCCAAGAGCAGAATTTGAGGCTTCTTTGGAAATTTGCCTTCAGAGGCAGAGGGGTCCCAGGTTATATGCTCCAGGACTGCTAGGCTTCTGAGTCTCCTCGCAAATACAAGCATGGCTCCCAGCACACCTACCTAAGGGCATTTGTGTCTGAGGGCACCCCCCCCCCCCCCCCCCCCCCCCCCGCCACACACATTGGCCTGCTGCCTCTCTCGCCCACAGAGCCTGGGGGGCCTGGGGGAGAGCCCGGGGTGCTGGGAAGTTGGCTTATGGGGTTGGGGCTTCCTGGTGCTCTTGCTCGCAGGAGAGATGGGGGCTCCAGCTGCGTGGGTCCTGCTCGCAGACACCGCTCTTGCCACATCGAGGTAAAGCCCATGCGGGGAGTGGAGACCAGCTTCCTGGACTCCCTCCCTGGCTGACATCCCAGGGTGCCTGCCTGTCAATGCACAGCCAGGGCTCTGGGAAGTCCCCAAGTCCCTTCCTTACCCTCACAGAAAGGGCAGAAGTGGCAACGTCGACAGCCTTCCCTCCAGCAGCCAGCCCAGAGCCTCCGACCCCCCTCCCCTGCCCCTGGCTCCTGGAGGGGAGCGCTGGGGGCCATTCTGCCCCGCTGCAGCAGGGGGTGGGGCAAAGGACCCATCTTCCCTGGGACCAATGGGGTGGGCAGACCCCGGGGTGGCCCCACTTCCCCCTTCCTTGCCCCTCCACCCCCACAGAGCTGCCCCGACGGTGCCCGCGACTTCCGGGCAGAGCAGTGCTCCGAGTTTGACAGCCAGGAGTTCCAGGGCCGGAGGTACAAGTGGCTGCCCTACTACGGGGGTGAGTGCAGACGGCCTCGGCACAGGTGCACCTGCTGTTCCCCACTGCGTGTCCCTGTGCTGGTCCCCATCTTTCTGGGATCTCTTACACATCAATTCACGTTTTTTGCTACCATACTTCAAACACTTTGTCAATTATGTTTTAAAAGTTAACAATGGCCTGTACCCCCAGCACGTGCCCCTCACAGCCCAGCACTGGTGGTCATCTTGAGGTCTTTCCGTCCTTTCCCCACTCTGTGTATGCTTTCTTTTAAAAAGATATTTAAAACCTTGTTGACTTTTTTTTTATAGAGAGGGGAGGAGGGGGGGGGAGAGAGAGAGAGAGGGGAACACTGGTTTGTTGTTCCACCTATTTATGCGTTCTTGGGTTGATTTGCAGATGTGCCCGGACCAGGGATCAAACCCGCGTCCTTTGCTGTACAGAGACAGCGCTCTAACCAACTGAGCTGCCTGTACCTGGGCTCCCCTCTGCGTGCATTTTCAGACAAAGCCATGGCTCTGGCTCCGCCATTTTGAGCCCCGCTTTTGGCTCAATTTCAAAGCATTCCTGGTGCCTCAGGGTAGCCGAGAGGGGCGCCGTGCTGAGCTGGGCAGGGGCCCACGGGCCCAGGGTCTCCAGGCTGGAGGGCTGGCTCCGGGGAACTTAGGGGAGGGTGTACGTGGGTGGTTAATTTTTAGAGCAAAACAGTTTGAGGAAAAAAACCCCACTAACGTATATGTAATTACAACATTTCAAATGAGTCAGAAGATACTGTAGGATAATTCTTCTGAGTATGCGTTTTCACGGCTCACTGCAAATGACTCCTGGAGACTCTATGGTGCTCTGGAGTCCAAGCTACATTTATATCCCGTGTGTGCTTTGGGGTGGGCGGAGGGGGTCTTGGTTAGAGGGAGTATTCCCAGTGGGGACCATGGCCATTTGCTGCTCCTCCAGAAATCTGAGGTAAGCTTATATTGAAAATAATTTAAATCTGCCCATATTATAGAAGCATGGGAATGCAGAGAAAAGGGTAAAAAAGGTTGTGGAGGGACACCTTCCTTATTGTGAAGGCAATGACAATCCTCTCAGCATCTTTAGGCTGTTTAAACAATGTATTTATACTATTTAGATAAATATAAAAATTAAAAGAATAAAAAAATGACCTTAAGCCCACCTCTTTCATAGAACCGTTGCTAGCTTTCCTTCTGGCCCTTTTCACAATATTTTCTCTGTGGGTACATATTTGTTACAAGCATCATCCCACATTACTGTATAGTCTTAAATAAATGTTTTTAAAAATTATTATGTAGAGGGGGAGAAAGAAAGAGAGGGAGAGAAACATCAATGTGAGAGAAAAATATCTGTTGGTCGCCTTCTTGCATGTGCCCTGACGGGGGACCGAACCCACAACCCAGGCATGTGCCCTGACCAGGAATCGAACTCATGACCCTTTGGTCTGCTGGACTATGTCCAACCAACTGAGCCAGGGCTAGTCTTCATAATTTTTAATAGCTTTGTTAACATGCATAACATTCTATTGATAGATCATTTACTTAGAGTCACTGATTGTTAACTCTTGGGTTATTGTAGATAATGCTGAGATAGACCTCTTTGAGTATCAGCTTTTTCCTTATTCTGGGATTTCCCTTGGACTTGAGCCTCAGAGATGATGCAGCAGTTTTGTGGAAACATCCCTCCCCTTGGGATGGGGGTGGGACTCTAAACCACTTGGAGGGGGCGCTGCTGCAAGGGCCTTCTCTCTATCCCCTCCCCACCCCCGCCTCGTTTGTGTGCTTCCGGCCCTGGCCCCACTCTGCCGAGGCTAGGGTGGCCCTTGCACGTCACTAGGACCTCAGCTTTCCCCTCTGCCTCCCCAGCCCCGAACAAGTGTCAGCTGACCTGCATCCCCAAGGGGGAGAACTTCTACTACAAGCACAGGGAAGCCGTGGTAGATGGGACACCCTGCGAGCCTGGCAAACGGGATGTCTGTGTGGATGGCATCTGCCGGGTGAGTGTCACCCCCCCCCCCCCCCCCCCCCCCCGTTGGTGTCTCCCTGCCCTGCACTGGCAAGGCCAGTGGCCCTCATGAGCTTGATGTCTTCTCAAGACCAGCTTCTAAGCTGCCTTTCGTCACAGATGCCCTGGGGCCCTCTTACCTTTGCCCTTTGAAAACTTTGGCCCCACAATAAGAGCAACCCTCTGGATGGCAAGTTACAGAATCCAGCTAAGCTGACTTTTCAAAAAGCCAGCAAGGGCGGGCGGATGGGCTGGCTGCGGGTGCCAGTGATGCTGCTGGGAACCTCTCTCCTTGCCTTTGGGCTTTCCTCTCCCGTGGCTCGGCATTAGGGTTAGGCAGGCTCTTCCCTACTGGCAGCTCCAGGTTTCAGCTGTCCCAGCCTGGCAACTCCCCATAAAGGGTGCCTCATTCCTAGGAGTTTCAGTGAGCTGGGTTGCCTCTGATTTGTCTTAACTTGGGGCTCCCCTCAACCACTCCCTTTGAGCAAGGCTTACAACCCACCAATCTGCCCAAACCCACTGTTGGGAGCTCTGCCCAAACTCTGTGTGGGGGAAATGGTCCCCAAAGGAAAACAAGGTGCCATTGCCAGAGAAGGGATGATGGGTGCTGAGCAGGCAGAAGAAGTGAGCTGTCAGCCACAGGCCGGATCCAAGGTTTACTCAGCCCGTGATATTTCTAGGCTTTGTAGTTCATCTGAGAGTTTTTAAAAATTGTTGCAAATCTCCAAAAATTTTTTTCCAATGTATTGATTGAAACAAAATCCACATATATATGGCCCCACACACTTCAAACACATGTTGTTCAAGGGTCAACTGTAGTTACTGCTCCTCCCTGACCGGGCCAGGCAACCAGGGTTCGAGTCCTCGTGTGTCCGTGACTCCCTCTGGTCTCTCCCATCTTTCCTTCATCTCTGCCTGGCAGGTTGTCGGCTGTGACCACAGCCTAGATTCGTCAAAGCAGGAGGACACGTGTCTGCAGTGCGGGGGCGATGGCACGACCTGCTACCCTGTCACCGGCACCTTTGATGCCAATGACCTCCGCAGAGGTGGGGGGCCCCCAGAGGTCCACAGACAGTTGAGACAAGGGTCTGTTGCCTGTCCCTTCCTTGCCTGTTGCCTGCTCTGGCTGAGTCACTGTCATTGCACCGAGAGGGTCTGATCTGGTGCTCAGGTCGTGCCTAAAAGGCCTGAGGTCATGGCTCAGGCTGGAGGCCAAGGCCTGTCCCAGGAGCCTGTGGGTGATGACCTCTGCCTACTCATCCAGTGTAACCTCACTCTGCTGCCACTTAAATGCCCCTTCTTGTCCCTTCCGCATCTGTCCCCTCCCCAGTCTCTCTGGGTGCCGGGGCCTGCCCGCGCCCTGCCCGCGGCCCTGGCCTTGTTTCCTCTTCAGGAACACTCTTCCCCAAGCAGCCCAGCCCGCTGTCTCCCACTTGGCCGTCTCTGACCCTGTCCTGCTGCTAGACACTTGGTGTCCTCAGGCCAACTCCTCCCTGTGGCCTGAGTGATCCCAGTCTCTCCGCCTCCTCAGGCTACAACCAGATCCTCATAGTTCCCGTCGGGGCTACCAGCATCCGCATCGAGGAGGTAGCCCCCAGCAGGAATTTCCTGGGTGAGGACAGTTCGGGTGCAGGGGCGTGGGGGGCTGTGGCGGGCTGCCGGCCGGCGGCGCTGACGGGGCGGGGCACCCTGCACAGCGGTGAAGAGCATCCGTGGTGAGTACTACCTCAACGGGCACTGGACAATCGAGGCTGCCAGCGCCCTGCCCGCGGCCAGCACCATCCTGCACTACGAGCGGGGCGCCGAGGGGGACCTGGCACCGGAGCGACTCCACGCCCGCGGCCCCACCTCGGAGCCCCTGGTCATCGAGGTGAGTGGGGCCGGCAGCAGAGACTTCTGGGGTCAGGGGGGGCCTCCAGCCGGCAGGAGGGCTGTGGGGATGGGGTGGGGGTGGGGAAAGAGCTGTTAGTGACCGGCTGCAACCGGGACCCCCTCCGCTCCCGCCCCCGCCATCCGCGCAGCTCATCAGCCAGGAGTCCAACCCCGGGGTGCGCTATGAGTACCACCTGCCCCTGAGCACCGCTCGTCGGGGCTTCAGCTGGAGCCACGGCTCCTGGAGCGACTGCAGCGCTGAGTGCGGCGGAGGTGAGGGCTGCGGCCCAGGCAGGGGCGGTCCTGTCCCCGAGGTGCTCCAGCCCTGGGGGCGGAAGAGGGAGGAGGTGGACAAGTACATGAGACATCTGCATGTCATGGGGTCACCTTGGGGAGCCCAGGGGATGGGGGCCTTTTTAAAGGGCCCCTGCCTACGCCAGAAGAACCAGAGAGGGCTCCCCGAGGCGTCACCTTTGCAGCAGAGGTGGAGCCTGGAGTCGATGACCAGCTGTCAGAGCTGGGCTTGGTCGCTCACAGAGAAAACTCGGAGCCTCAGTTCCCTCCTCTGTAAACTGAAGATGATCATGGCATCTACCCCAGAGGGTCACTGGGGGCTTAATCATGATGACCAGCATGGTGCCTGGCCCAGTTAGAAGCCGTTTGGTGAATGTTGACTCACCGGCTGCCCACTGCGGCCTGGCCCCTGCAGGTCACCAGTCCCGCGCAGTGTTCTGCACCATCGACGGTGAGGTCTACCCTGAGCACATGTGCCAGCACCAGCCACGGCCGGCCGACCGCCGCCCCTGCAGCCTGCACCCCTGCCCACAGACGAAGCGGTGAGGCCCTTGCCAGTCCCCTCCCCCTGTGGCCGGGCCCAAGCACTTGGGTGGGAGGGACTGGGGTGCTGAGGCCGCTCTAGGTGTTGAACAAAGAGATTGGGTGTCCCAGGGGCCTCCACAGCCGTGGCTGGAGCAGGAGTGGAGGCAGCTGTCAGTTGGGGAGGCTGTGGCGGAGCCTGAGCTTGAGGCCCAGGGCTGTTCTGTCCACCCTCGTGTGAACACACAGTGCCCAGAACGTCCAGGCGGCTGGCAGGAAGGCAGGGGAAGGTACTGGAGGCCCCGTCTGTCTGAGCCGGCAGGGGCTTGGCTCAGCAGATGCCCAGGAGTGGGCCAGGGATGGGGCCAAAGACGCCTGCAATGCCTTTGTTCATGCGCAAAGGACCTCTTACCTGCACCAGCCCAGAGCGTGGCATCTTGCTGGGGCCCAGCATGTGTGGGGGAACAGGTAATCCGCAGGCCGCAGGCCACTTGCAGGGCTGGTACAGCCCTTCCGCCCTCGAGGCTGCCTCTCGCGATGGTGGCGGGCTCGGCTTTGCATGTGGTGGGGGCTGCACTTTCCTCCGGTCCTTGCGCCCCAGGGCCTCCAGGCCACTCCACTCATTGGTGAGCACAGCCCCTCTGGGAGACACCCCCAACTAAGGTCACACGCTGAGGGAATGGAGTCTGGCTGGGGTGACAGGGGACCTGTGAGAAGCAGAACAGGAGATGTGGGTGAGGACAGGAGAGTTGAGGGGGAGGCAGCCGGGCTCCATGTTGCAGGGGCCAGCAGTGGGGGAGGTGGTGTGGAGGCCGGCTATGGGCCTCTGTGCGGAGCTCTTTGCCACGCAGCTGCACAGGCCTGGCGGCCAGAGGACGGGCCGGGCTGGGCGTCCCCAGTCCACTCCCATGTGTGAGAGCTGGTGCCACCTCGGGTATGGGCTTTGGCCCCTACGGCTGGGCCAGCCTGACCTTTCCCTGCTCCCTGCCAGCTGGAAGACAGGGCCCTGGACGCCCTGCTCGGCCTCCTGCGGAGGTGGCTCCCAGTCCCGCTCTGTCTACTGCACCTGGTCCGATGGGGCTGGCGTCCAGGAGGCCGTCGAGGAGGCCCAGTGTGCAGGCCTGCCTGGGAAACCGCCGACCACGCAGGCCTGCAACCTGCAGCGCTGTGCAGCCTGGAGCGAGGAGCCCTGGGGAGAGGTGAGGCTGGGCTGGGCAGGGGTGGGCAGGAATCAGAAAGTGGGTCTTGGGCCCAGGGCAGAGCTGAGAGGTTTGTTCTTTGCTATGGAAACAGATCCTGGGAGGTAAAGTGAGCTGCTGTGTAGGCCTGGATGGGACAAGGAGCAGGCGCTTGGACTCCTGCTCCAGTGCTCTTCCTCCTTGAGGGTTGCAGGCCAGGTGGAAAGGTCAGGAAGAAGTCACCTTTGCCGTGACAGGAAGCAGCAGCTGCACACGTTGTTTGGGGGCAAGGGAGGGGCTCACACCATCTGAGGCTGTTGGTCACAGCTTCTGACACCTGCATACATGTGTCCAAGTTGCAAAGGAGGGAAGGTGGCAAATGCACTTCAGCCTGGTGGCAGCCTCCATGGTTCAGGCTGTGTGACCTCAGGGGAGTGACTTGGCCTCTCTGGGCCCAGGAGCTGGACACGGGCAGCAGGGTGTTGCACACCCTCCCTGCTGGGCCGGCGGGCCTCCAGCTGTCCGACCCAACGTGGCTCCTTCTGGCTGAGGACAAGCTTCTGCTGACGGCCTGGTCCTTGCAGTGTTCTGTCAGCTGCGGTGCCGGGGTCCGGAGGAGGAATGTCACTTGCCGGGGTGACGAGGGGTCTCTGCTCCATGCCACAGCATGCTCCTTGGAGGACCAGCCACCTCTCACTGAACCCTGTGTGCGTGATGACTGTCCCCCACTCAGTGACCAGGCCTGGCATGTAGGCGCCTGGAGTCTAGTGAGTACTTGCCCTCCCAATACCTGCTGCTCAATCCTGGTCCCTTGGGGTCTGGCAGGGAGCTGCACACATGCCCACCTTGGGTCTGGTGTGCATTATCAGGCACCTTTACCCTCCCATCCTCCATCCCCTATCCCTCCATCCCCTCATCCCCTCATCCCCCCATCCCCCCATCCTTGTGGGTACTCTCCTTCCCACCTGCATGCTCAGGGGCTCGCTCCCTGCAGGTATCTGCTCCCTGTGCGCAGTGCTGGCTCCCTGTGCGCAGTGCCCGCGCCCTGTGCACAGTGCCCGCGCCCTGTGCATGGTGTTCTCTCTTCTCACCCCATGGGTCCTAGTGCTCCAAGAGCTGCAGCTCAGGCACTCGCAGACGGCAGGTCATCTGTGCCATTGGGCCGCCCAGCCACTGCAGGAGCCTGCAGCTGTGGAAGCCGGCAGACGTGGAGCCCTGTAACACGCAGCCCTGCCACCTTCCTCCCGGTAAGACAAAGGGGTGGAGTCTGGCCAGACCCATCTTACAAGCGAGCCTGCCAGCATGGGCTGCCTCTGGGCCTTCGCACTGGTCAGCCACCTGGAAATCTCCCCTCCCGTGTCTCCCTGCCACCATGAAGTAGGGCTCTGTGCAGCCTCACTAGCCAGCCCTATTTTCCCCCCCAGAGATAGCATCCCTTAGCAACCCCCCACCCTTAGCTCACTATAACTGCTGTCACTCTTAGATTAGTTTCCTTGTGCTGCAGTGGTATATGGCTTGTAAGGCCTATTAGTTATAAAATTCTTGAGGGCCAGGCCTCCGACTTCCTTATTCCTGCTTGTACTTCCTCACGGGACATTGCTAGCATGTGATAGGAACTCAGTGTTTGTCAAACCACTGATTGGGTGCAGAGTGGGAAGGGGATCCAGGAAAGACTGTCCTTACACCCTGCTTCTGCCTCTGTCTTCCCCCCCCCACCATCCCCACCGGGAGAGAGGGCGTCCCAGGTGTGAGGCGCTGCATGGGGAAGTGCGCAGAGGCCAGCACTTGCTTAGTGAGAGGATGTGACGTTGAGGAAAGGCTTGGGTTGGGCGGGGTGCAGGGGCGGCCTTCTCGTATAGTGATGGGGCCCTGGGAGCCGTGACGGGGAGCTGTAGGATTCCGATGGCGGCACCTGGCAGGGTGGCCAAGAACCGGTGGCCTGGAGTCAGCAGCCAACCTGGGTTGGGTGCAAATCTCCACGGCATTGCCGACCAACTGCCCTGGGCAACTGCCTCTCCTCTGATTCCCAGATGCCCATCAGTACCATGGGGTTAGTTAGTAAGAGTTTCCAGGCTTGTGGTGAGCTCCTTGGCACGATGTGCATACACACTGCTCGAGAAGCAAGCGCCGGCGGTGGTGGCGGGAGGCTGGGTGGGGCCCTGAACCAGGCTCCTGGGCGCCTCAACCCGGTCCTGGGGATGCGTGAGCAGGGGGGCCTTCAAGCTCCTGAGTCCAGCTCCCTAGAGCCACTCCGTGCCCTAGGGCCCTGGACACCTTCCTGGAAGAGGTGTCCCTGAGCCTGGCCCTGAGAGGCATTCACAGGGGTTCTAGAAGGGAAGGAAGGGGAGAGACAATTTCAAGCCAGGCTGAGTTGTTAAAGAAATAACCTCCACAATGTCTTTCATAATTATAAAAAAAATGTATGCTCATTGTGGAAAATCTGGAGAAATTAGAAAAATAGTGTATATAGAGAAACTTAAATAGCCTTAAAAGGCCATCTATCAGTGGTTTAGCCTACTTCCTTGAGATGTATGTGTGGTTCTGTATCGGTTTTTCCCCTGTAATGCCATTTGGTATGTGACACTTTCCAGTCTCATGATTTCTAGGAGCTTAGTAGAAGTATGAGATGGTGAGAATAAGAATTCCGTGGTTTCTGGTGGTTCGGGTACCGCAGCAGCTAATGCTGTAGTGCAGACTGGTGGGTGCCCAGGAGGGGGAGCCCCGGGTCAGAGGAGGAGGCCGAGCTGAGGGACGGTGTGCGAGCGGACGCCAGGGTGCACGGGGCAACCGGCGCTTCCTCCTCTTTTTAGACTCTAGAGCTGCGCTTGCCAATAGAAATAGAACTCCAGCCACAGAGGTCATTTAAAATTGTCTGAGAGCCACATGAAAAAAGGAAAAAAAAAGTGAATTTGTACTTAATATGTTTTATTTAACCCAATACAATATTTTAAACATGGAATTGATATAAAAATTACAGATGGACCACGGCCGGGTGGTTTAGTTGGTTGGAGCATCGTCCCATGCACCAAAAAGGTTGTGGGTTTGATTCCTGCTCAGGGCACATATCTGGGTTGTGGGTTTGATCTTCAGTTGGGGCGCATGCTGGAGGCAACTGTTTGTTTGATGTTTCTTTATTACATCCATGCCTTTTCTCTCTCCTATCTCTCTAAAATCAATAAAATATATCCTCAGAGGAATAGGATATTTTGCATTCTTTTTACACAAGATTTTTTAGAAAATTACGTATCATAATCCAATATATAATTTACACTTGTATTCACATGCTAACATCCCACTGGCATATGGGATCAATATTTAGGTTTCAAAAATGTACAGTTGACAGAGTAGAATCACGACCCAAGTTGTTCCAAATGTACTCTGAGGTGTTTTTGTATAAATGAATCAAGCATCAGTATTTAAATTTGAAATCAAGTTAATCCTAATTAAAGAATTTAAAACTCAATCTCTCAATCACTCTGGCCACATGTCAAGTGCTCAAAGCCACGCCCGCGGCGCAGGGTGTGGGGCGGTGACCCGAGGTCCGGCCAGCCTGTGCTCTGAGGGCCGGCGCGGTGCTCCGGGCTCCCGGTTGACTGTCTCGCAGGGCCCAGGGGGGCCGTGGACAGTGTTGAAGCCAGGGGGTGACACTGTGAAAGCTATTTGGGAGGGCAAACTGGGCACCTGCCTGAGGGTCAGACTGAAGGGGAGACACTTGGGGAGCAGGCGTCCGGTCGGGGGAAAGGCTGCAGAAATGCAAGTGCCAGAAAGAGCAAGAGAAATGGAGGGACAGGGGCGGGGCCCGCAGAGCCTGCTGCCCAGAGGGCGTGTGGGCGGGGGGCCCGGACCCTAAGAGAAGCCAAAGGCAGGAGGGGCCTGGCAGAAATGTGCCTCTCATGGGGAGGTGACAGAGGGACAGCAGGCAGAGATTCCCAGGCTGGGCCTGAGAGGGTGGGTCGGAGGTGACAGAACTGGGGAGAGGATTTGGGTCTAGAGAGAGGTTTTGGCCTGGGTGGGATAGGCAATCAAATGAAATCAAAGATTTTACTGCATGTCTACTGAAGGCTTTCAACCCTAACTTGTTATTTTTTAAATATTCCCTGGGGACTGGCAAGAGATAGCCATATGGGAATGGAATTTTCCCTTATTTTTAAATAATTTTATTCCATCCTGTGGTAATGTACTTACTGCAGAAAAGTTGAAAACCACTGACAAACAGAAGGAAGGGATCCCCCAACCCACCCAGCACACACTCAACCGGGTCACTCAGAAACTTCCGCTGTGAGCATTTGGGGTACATTCCATGTCTTATTTTAGTCATCGTTTAAAAACATGCCTCTTGCCTAAGTTTTCTTTACTTGGCCTTTTGCATTTTTCTCCAATATTTTATGATGAAAAATACTTTAATAACTTGTGATTAGATATCATAGACCATAAAATTCACCCATACATTCTAATGGTGTAATTCATGATGTTTAGTAAATTTACCTAGCTGGACAACAAGATGATGAAAACTTTTAACTATAGAAAAGTTGAAGAACTGTATAGTAAGTAGCCATGTACCCACTTTCTAAATTCAACAATTATTTTTTTATATTTGTTTTTTCATTATTCTCTTTCTACCCTCTCATCGATCCAGTTACTTTTAATATGGAATCTTTTTATTGAGGTAAAATTCATATAACATATGGTTAAACATTTTAAAGATTTTTATTTATTTTTAGACAAGGGAAAGAAGGGAGAAACAGAGGGAGAGAAACATCAATGTGTGGCTGCCTCTCACACGCTCCCTACTGGGGACCTGGCCTGCAATCCAGGCATGTGCCCTGACTGGGAATTGAACCAGCAACCCTTTGGTTCACAGGCCGGCACTCAATCCACTGAGCCACACCAGCCAGGACTTTTTCCCACTTAAACATTTTAAGGTGTCCACCGTGGTGGTATTCGGTGGATTCACGATGCTGTACAACCACCAGCTGCCCCCCAGCTTCGGAAATTTTCATCACCCCTGATAGTACCTTGCATCCACTGAGTAGCTCCTTCCCCAGTAACCTGATCAGCTTCCTGTCTTTATGATTTGCCTATTTTGGATTTTATCATAGAAAGGGTCAGTAGACCTTTTGTGACTGGCTTCCTTCGCTTAGCAGAATGTTTCTGAGGTCTGCCAAGTTGTAGCCTGCGTCAGCACGCCGTTCCTCTTTATGTCTGAATGACGTTACATGGAAGTGCCGCTCTTTCTTCCTCATTCACCTGCTGAGGGGCGTTTGGCTTGGTTCCACCTTGTGGCTGTATTGAACAGTGCTGCTGTCAACATTCCTGCACCAGTCTCTATGTGGACATAGGTTTTCATTTCTCTCGGGAGTGTATCTAGAGGCATGGTATTACCGTACAGGTATTCCAACGTTTAACTTTTTGAGGAATTGCCAGACCGTTTCCACAGTGACCGCCTTTTGCCGTCCCCCCAGCAACGTATCACAGGTCCAGTTTGTCCACTCACCTCTTCACCAGCAATCGCTTTTCAGGTTTTTTGATTAGAGCCATTCTAGTGGCTGCAAAGTGGTATCTCATTATGGCTTTGTGTAGCATTCCCTTAATGACCAGTGATGTTGAACATCTCATGGGCTCGTTTTGCCTATTTGTGTACCTTCTTTGGAAAAATTCCTTGTTCAAGTTCTTGGCTCATTTTTAATTGGATTATTCTTTCATCAATCCAATTTTTAAAAATTGTGTATCACTTTTTGTTTTTTGTAGTTGGGATCAAACATAGATGCTAATTTTACATCTCGCTTTCCTTTTTGCTGAATGTGTAATATTGGCGTTTTCTATGTAACTAAAGACTTTTACAACATGGGAAGGGCGTCTTACGAAATCACAGGTGCCGCTCCTGTCATGCTCGCTTCCTGGACTCCCCAGGCCCTGCCTGAGGAGGGGGGTGGGAGCAGATGTCGGCCAGGGCTGGCCGCAGTTCAAGTCTACCTCTCTCCTCTGTCCTTCTGCACCCCACCGTGGCTGCCCTGGCTCCCCGCAGAAGTCCCCAGCATGCAGGATGTGCACACCAGCCTCAGGGCCCCCTGGATGTCTTTGGGCCCTCGTGAGGCCCCTGCCTCAGGTGAGGTGCTCAGTGGAAGCCCCCCAACCCACAGCCCTGGAGATGGAGGTTGTGGGTTGGGGCGGGGCATGGAGGGAAATGGGCCTGATGTGGACACAGGTGAAGTGAGGAACCAGGAGGACACATCATGCCTCGTGTGTCTTGCTTCCCTCTTCTTCCTAGATTCCAGAGACCAGCGGTGGACGCCCCGGGAGCAACCCTCGGCTCGGGGTAACCCCAGAGGAGACCAGGGCCCCCGCCTGCCGGCTCCTGGCCCAGCCTCTTCTCTGCAGCAGTCCCCAGACCAGCAGCCCCTGTGGTCTGGCTCGGGGTCCCAGGACTGCAGACGCAGCCCCCACGGGTGCTGCCCCGATGGCCACACGGCATCTCTTGGGCCGCAGTGGCAGGGCTGCCCCGGGGCCTCCTGTCAGCAGAGCAGGTAGGTGCCTCTTCCTCCACACCGGGCCAGAGGGGACAGGGGTCTGGCAGGCAGGGCAGCCTCTCTGCTCAGAGAGGAGGTGGGGTGGGTTTGCGGAGCTCAGGAATGGGACCGCAGAGGTGTTGTCTCCAGCTGCTCTGACTGCTTCCTCATGTGCCCAGTGCGGGTGAAAAGGCTGCTTCCTCCGCAGAGTTGTAGCCCGTGGAGTTGTAGACCACGGAGTTATAGTCCAAGGCTCTGGGGAGGCAGGCAGGGTGGGGGCATCTGGGTTCAGTCCTCAGTCCAGATGGGCTCCCACTCCCTCAGGCTAGGGTACAAAGGGACCAGACTTTGGGGCCAGTGGCCTGGGGGTGATTCCCAGCTCAGGCACTTACTTGCTAGTGTGACTTGCAAGTGTGCTGGGTGACTTGGGCACATTACTTAACCTCTCTGATCTTGGCTTCCTCTGCTGAGAATTGGGAACAGTGACAGCCACTGGCTGGAGTGACTGTGAGGATGAACCCAATCCCACGGTACCTAGCACGTAGAAGGCGCTCTGATCCGTCTCCTTTACACCCTCCTTCCCAAGTCCTGGCTGTGGGGATGAAACAAGTGCTGGGTTCCTGACGCTCTTTCTGCCCCTCCCCCATCTGCTGCTGCTTCATAAAAACTCCCCGGGAACCCGACAACCAGGCAGGCTCAGATTAATTCCCCTTCCTCGGCTTTGTGCTGGGAAGTGAGTTGAGGATTTACCAATTGTTTTTTTAAGACTATTTATTTATTTACTTACTTATTTTAAAGATTTTAACTTTTTTTAGAGAGAAGGGAAAGGAGGGAGAAAGAGAGGGAAGAAATATCAATGTGTGGTTGCCTCTGGCGCGCCCCCTACTGGGGACCTGGCCTGCAACCCAGGCATGTGCCCTGACCAGGAATTGAACCAGTGACGTTTTAGTTAGCAGGACAACACCCAACCCTCTGAGCCACATCAGCCAGGGAGAGGATTTGCCCATTATTAAGGCTGCCACTCTGCTTATTGTATTACAGTTGCCCTCCTTGCTGGCCCCTAGGTGGCTGGTAGATGCAGAGTCTGGACGTGCAAGATGGTGCACCTTGCATGCAGGTCACATGGTCTCCCACTAGGACCCTCCCCTGGTCAGCCCCCAGCGCAGGGAGCCTTGGAGTGGGGGTCCTTGAAGGGACTGGGTGGTCAGAGGAGGGCTGTGTGATGCCTGTCTAGGTACGGGTGTTGCCCTGACGGGGTGTCTGTGGCCGAGGGGCCCCATCAAGCTGGCTGTGCGAGGTCTTACGGCAGCGACAACAGCGGGAGCAGGCCGGGGTCGAGAGCTGTGGCCTCCACAGTAAGTGTCCCTTTCTTGTAACGGGACAGCAGTCCAGCCCCAGACCCTGCTCTGTGCCACTGTGCAGCTTTGGCCTTGGAGGAAGGAGGTCCCTGAAGCCTGCTGGCCTGGGTTGTCCTCTTGAGGACACAAAGTTTCAGAGGTGGCCTGGGGCTGTGGGTTTCCTCTGACACTCTCCTGGCCTCTGGTTTCCCCCTTGGGCTGGGGCTCTGCACCTGGGCTCCCCGTTCTGTCTCTCCCTCCCCCTGCCGCCCCCTCCCAGGCAGCCTAGAGTCCCAGGCAAGAGTCAGACCTATTGCCCACTGCCTCCTCAGGCCCCCAAGGCCCGCCAGGCCCACCAGGACCAGGCCCAGCAGAGTGAGCCCAGTGAGTGCCGGGGCTCCCAATTTGGCTGTTGCTATGACAACGTGGCCTCTGCAGCAGGCCCTCTAGGGGAAGGCTGCGTGGGCCAACCCAGCTATGGTGAGTGGGTGCCCTTCCTCATCCTGGTGGTAGACTCTGGTCTCAGGTGCCCCCTGCCCCCACTCAAAGCCAAAGACCTTCCTAGGCTCAGATGTTCATGCATTTCTTCCACAAGTATGTATGGGTCACCTTCTAGGTGCCAGGCCTGAAAACAAATCAGATGTTTCCGAAAGTTTGCCCGCAAGGCCACCTGGCTGCTGTGAGGGTTGGGAAGAGTTGTAGGCGGGGATCCCACAGAGCAGGAAGGCCCGTCCTCCTTCGTAGGGGCTCAGACCCCTTCAGAAGCAGACGGTGAAGGGTGGTCAGTGCTGGGATGGATGGGGCGGCCCCACCCTGCCTGGGATGAGTTCTGGAGGAAGGTTTGAGGCTGGAGCATGGGATGTGTGGGCGGAGATTCTGGGGACCAATGAGAGGACGTTGAAAACCAGACTCATGGTGTTCAGGGTCTGCAGGAGGCTTTAAGCAGGGGCCAGCCATGGTCACATCCAAATGTGGCAAGGTGGAGCAGGCTGTGCTGGGGAGGAGGCTGCCAGAAAGCGCAGGTGGGGCTTAGGGGATGTTCAGAGGTTGGTGAAGGGTCCCAGGAACAGGGTGGGCCCCTCGCTGGGCATCTTTACAGGCCCCTGGGAGCTCAGGGCTGGGTCGTTACCCTGCTGAGAACGCCAAGGGGAAGCCCACGGGTTGCTCTGGTATGCACCCCAGTGATCTGGTCAGGGAGGGGAAGGGGCGTGTGGGAGCCAGTCCGGGGGCTTAGAGCCCTGACCTTCTAGAGGCCTCTAACTCTGTGGGTGGAGGTGGACGGGCTGATTTCGCAGGCTGCAGTGGTCCCCGGGGCAGGCCAGGGGCCCCCGCAGAGTTGTAGGCATGCCTCACTAACGGGGCAGGGCTGCTGTCTCTTGAGGGGGGTGGGGGACTTGGCCTCCTGGGTGATGCGCATCCTCCCTGCCCTCAGCGTACCCCGTGCGGTGCCTGCTGCCCAACGCCCTCGGATCCTGCACAGACTGGACCACCCGCTGGTACTTCATCGCCTTTGTGGGCCGCTGTAACCGCTTCTGGTACGGCGGCTGCCACGGCAACGCCAATAACTTTGCCTCGGAGGCTGAATGTATGAGCAGCTGCCGGGGGTCTCAACATGAACCTCGCCAACCCTGGCTTGGGACTGCTGGCCAGAGCACCCACAGAGATGGCAGTGGCAGAAGTCATGGAAGCCAGCAGGAGGCCTTAGAACGGCCAAGGGGCCAGGATCGGGGGCTCGTTGACACTGGACTGGGCGGAGAGGCGGGGCGGCCAGCACCACCCTCCCACGGCTCCTCCTACAGGTGAGCCTCACCTTCCCCAGGTAGGAGAGGGACGCAGGCCAGGATCTGAGCCTATTGGAGCTAAAACCCTGAGGGCAGCCAGTCCTCTCTCCTGTCCCTTACCTCAAATCCTCTAAACAGCCCTGCCTGGAGGCCCGGTTACCTGGGGAAGCTCAGGCTGCAGAGGCCAGGCCGCTGGTACCTGGATTCTCCAGCCCGTCTTGCCAGTGCACCCCAGGGCCTGTCTAGTTGGAAAAGCATATGGGCTTTGGGGCTTGGCAAGTCCTTCCACTGCTCCAAGCCTCTGTTTCTTGACCTGTAAATTAGTGATATTATCTCATGGGTTTCGGGTCGGTTCAATTCAGGGTGGGACTATATCAGATTAATGAGAGATTTGGGAAGATTAAAAGCAAAACAGGAGTATGGTTCAGCTCCCGCACGAGTCTGGTGTGCGCTGTCCCTCTGTCCCTCCCGCCCTCTGGCCTTGGGCTTCGTGTGGCCTGTGCTGCAGGCACAGGTTGCGGTGGCCGTGCCCTGGGCGTGGCAGGGAGGTTGGGAGGGCGGATGCCTGCGTCCTTGGGCTTCTGGAGCTTCGCCTTCCATGACACCTCGGGCCCGGCAAGTGCCCGTGGCAGGGTGGGACACACTGACGACGGGTGGTCCCCAGTCCTGACAAGTGTGCTGGCAGGGCGGGCGCCCACCTCCCACCTCTCCGGGGTTAGCTCGGCAGGCTCGGAGCCCTCTCTGGTGCAGGCGGCCCTGGGGCAGGTGGCGCGGCTGCTCTGCCCAGGTGGCACGTCCACGGACCCGCACACCAGGTGGCAGAAGGAGGGGCAGCCCATCTCCTCCGACAGGTGCGTGCAGGCGTCCTCCGGGGGTGGCCTCCCTCGTTTCCTCTGGGTGGGCGGTGCGGGTGGGGCTACGGAGCCCGGGGCCTGAGGGGGTCGGGCTTATGGTCGCCCTCAGGAGCCCAGAGCTCGAGCCCCTGTTCTGCTCACTCAGGCACAGGCTGCAGCCGGATGGCTCCTTGGTCATCAGCCCCCTGCGGGCAGAGGACGCTGGCACCTACAGCTGTGGCACCAGGCCAGGCCGTGACTCTCCGAAGGTCCAGCTTCGCGTCACAGGTCTCTGTGCCCTACCCCCCACGGGATCCCATGGGCTCCATGGTGGAGTGGACGGGCTGAGAGGGCCCCAGCCGGGGCAGCCCTGTGGCGGAGGGACGAGGGTGCTTCCTTGGGCCCAGGCATCCTGGTGGCAGGGACCGTGTGTTCCGGTTGGGCTGGGGTGGAGGTCTTGTTCCTCGTGGACCTCACTTCCGCATGTGTCCCCCACGGGCCTCGGGCCTCGTGGCCCACCCTTCCTTCCACCCCCTTGTCCCCACAGCTCACCCCGTGTTCCTTCTGGCCTCACGACAGGGGGTAGCGTGGCCGTGCTGTTTGAGGCTGAGACAAGGCACTACACGCAGACCAGGGACCCCACCCAGGGCCATAGTCCTCAGGACCCCAGCCTAGGGGCAGGGGCAGGGGGCCCGGGCGCCATCGCTTCCTCCCACCCACGGCCCTGGACCAGGTAACAGGGTGGTACTACCTCGCCCCCAACCCCAAGGGCTGGAGTCCACGGGGGGCTCAGAGAGCGAGAGGATGGGAAGGCAAATGGGTCCCCAGGCCAGTAAGTGCTGTCACCAGGCTCTCTGGCCCCTGTTCAGGGCTCTGCAAGGTGAGGACTAGAAACACACTGGTCCCTGAGCTCAGCCTCTTGAGGAGGACGGGGGTCCCTCCTCCTCTGATCCCAAGCAGGTGGGACAGTGCAGGTCAGGGCTCCAGACTCGGAGCAGTGGGAAGGGAGGATCCTCAGGAGTTAAGGGCATGGTTGACGGTGTGGCGCGGGGGGAGGGGGCCACGCAGGGCCGGAGGGCACCCAGGTCAGCACCCCAGAGGCAGACGTGGAGGGTGGGGAGGAGACAATCTGAGATTCTGTGTCAGGGGTGGCAGGAGAGTAGAAGGGGCTGTTAGGCTTTGCCCAGGTAGTTATTGACGGGGCCCTTCCCAGAACTGGGTGGTAGTTTTAGGAAGCAAATCCAGCTGGAGAGGGAGCAGGGCCCACCCCAGGCATGGGTGGGAATGATGGGGGCCGCGGCAAGGAGCCCCTCCGGACTGTGGGGTGCTCGTTCTGCAGGCTGCGCCTGGACCAGAACCAGCCTGCGATGGTGGACGCCCACCCAGGCCAGCGGATCCGCTTGACCTGTCGTGCTGAGGGCTTCCCACCCGCAGCCATCGAATGGCAGAGAGATGGGCAGACCCTCTCTTCTCCCAGGTTTGTTCAGCTCCTCTCCCGTCCCTGCTGTCCCCACCCCACTCCGCCCCACCCCGTTGCCCACCTCTGGGGGAAGGAGCCGCCAGGAGTCACCTCTGGTCAGTCAGGGGCTCTCCTGACATGGAGCTGCTGGGCAGACCGACAGGTGGGGCTCTGGGCCCTTCCAGAGGCTGGTTAGGGGACAGAAGTCACTGGCCAGCTAACAGAGGGGATGGCTGGGTGGGGAAAGGAGGCAGACCCCGCTCTGGCCGCAATTAGAGCAGCCGACATTCACTGACCCAGGCGGGTGCAAGGCTTGTCTCCGCGGTACAATCCGTAGAAGAGCCCCGTGGAGCTGGGTGTTATTCTGTCCCCGTTTTTCACACAGAAGCTTAATACCACACAGCTCCTAAGTGGCAGAATCAGGACCTGAGCCTACTAAATGGGTAGGCCAAAAACTAGATACCCAAATTATTTTGTCAGAAAACTTGACGTGATTTATTGCCAGGGTTAAGAACAGGCACGCACCTTCAAGTCAATGAGAGTGCAGGCAGCGGGAGGCCGGCTGGCCCCTCGGTCAGACCCCACTCTCACCCGGGGAAGGAAGACTCTGCTCCTCCCCCAACCTCCACCCCAAAGGGGTGGAGCCCCCTGACTCTGTTTGGTCCCCAGACACCAGCAGCAGCCTGATGGCTCTCTGGTCATCAGCGAAGTGGCGGCGGAAGATGGTGGCTTCTATGCCTGTGTCGCCTTCAACGGGCAGGACCGAGCCCAGCGATGGGTCCAGCTCCGAGTTCTGGGTACGGTGCGGCCCTGAATGGAAGGGTGACGGGGGCCCGTGGCCTTGGAGGTCAGGTGGCGCAGGATGGGCACAGTGACTCACAGCACCTCCTCCCTGGGCCCAGGGGAGCTGACAATCACAGGGCTGCCCTCTACTGTGACGGTGCCAGAAGGGGACACGGCCAGGCTTCCTTGTGTGGTGGCAGGAGAAAGCGTGAACATCAGATGGTCCAGGTAAGGCTCCTTTCCGGACAGGCTGGTCCTCAGACCCACAGCCGAGCCCGACAGCCCGGGCACAGGCGTCCACCTCCCTGCAGGGAGGCTGCTGCCACGGCTGCCCCCACGGCCCATTCTTCCACTTCCGCCTCCAGGTCTACGCAGCGAGACCCACAGGACTGCGCTCCTCCTGTTGGTGGGGCCATACCAGGGTTTCTCAACCATGGCACCAGTGCCGATTTGGACCCAGTAATTGTTGCCTGTTGGGGCTGTGCTGTGCATTGTAGGGTGTTCAGCAGCTTTCAGGCCACTGGGATCCTAGGATACTCAGAGCCCTAAAATACTCCCGGGGGATCCTGGGGAGACCTGAGCCCCCTAGATACTCTCTGGCAGGGGAGAGCCCGATGCCCCTGGGCTCCAGAGATGGGCCCTAAGTGCTGTCTGTGCACTGAGGAGCGAGGCTGCCTCCCATATGGGAGAATTGGGGAAACGGTGGCCTCGGAGGTGACGCTGGCTGGGTGATGAAGGCTGAGGAGGGAAAGGATGTCCTTGGCCAAGTGAGAGGCGAAGCCAGGACGGGAACGGGCCCTCCCCGGGCCCTTCCCAGCAGTACACATGCCCAGGACTCCCCTCTTCAAACAGACCCCATGTTTCCCCGCAGCCCGGCCTTCTGCCAGCCTGCTCTGCTCAGCTCCGCTGTTTATGGCAGGTGTCCCCACCTGTCCACCCCCACTCATGGCTCAGCCCCTGACCAGGGGCCTCACACCCACTCCTGCTCCAGGGAGCCTGCCCTGGCCGAGGCCATCAGTGCCTCCCTGCTCCTAAACCCTCTGGACACGTCCCAGTCCCCACATGGCCTGGGTCCTTCTGCCGACCACTCGGGCTTCCTGAGATCTCCTGCCCTTGGCTCCAGGCAAGAGCCGGCTTCCGGTGTCCTTCCTGCTTCTCTGGCGGCTGCTTCTCTGGCGGCTGCTTCTCTCTTCCTGGCTGGCTCATCTCTCCATACCCATCCCTTAGAAGCCAGTGGACCTCCAGGTCTGTCCCTGGTCTTCAGTTTATCTAACACTTCTGTGGGCCCGCTTACCTGTGGGCAACCAGGTAGACACGCCGTTTCCAGGACCGCCCAGTGGTGAAACACAGTCTGGGTCCAGACCTCAACCCTGACGCTACGTGGTGTCTCACAGGCATGTGAAATGCAAAATAGTGGGGAGAAAAGAACCTCGCCAGTCACCCCTCCTCACCGCCCCGAGTCTCCGCATGGTGGAGGGGCACCTCCATTACCCAGTTGCCTGAGCCAGAAACCTCCACCATCTTTGGTTTCTTCTCCCCAACATCCCACATCTGACCCTATTCCCAGTCCCTTTATTGCCTGTGTCATCTACCTGGGTTTCAGGCTTGTCCCCCATTCCCCACTGCAGTCAGGGATTTTTTCGAAGTACAAATACCGGGTCGTCCTGGCTGACGCCGCCCCTTACCCCGGGATCCAGCCTCAGCTCCCGGCCAGAGCCACATACGCTTCCTCTCGCTGTGCTCAACCCTCCTTCCAGCTCCTGAGTCCCCACGTTCCCGTCTGCCGGCCAGCCGCAGGCTCGTACTCAGGCCAGGTCTCCGCGACTGTCGTCCTCAGGGAAGGCCCCCGCCAGACACCTGCACCCCCAACCCCGGGCCCTGGCGGCAGAGGGCGCTTGTGTCCTCCGTCCAGCACAGGGCCTGGCGCCTCATGGCTGCTTTCAGGCCCTTCGTTAATGAGAAGTGAGAATGCGCTTCCTTTGTGGGTAAGAGGCCCATGTACAGTAACTTAGGTCACTGCGCTCGGTTGCTGTGAGCTTGTCCCTTTGGTGTTACTACACTTATATAATGTCCTATCTTTTGGGTATCCTGTCCCACCTCATCCTTCAGGTAAGAGCCGTCTCTTTGTCCACAAAGAGGTTCTGGAATGGTCTTCGATCGCCACCACCGCCTGCCTCCTGGCCCTGGGGCCTTGGGGCGAGCGTCACAGAGTCCTGGGGCCTGAAGCCCGGAGGCCCTGGACAGCTCTCCTGGTGTCCTTTCCCCTCCAGGAACGGGCTGCCGATATGGCCCGATGGCCACCGTGTCCACCAGTCCCCGGATGGCACATTGCTGATCCACAACCTGCGGGCTAGGGACGAGGGCTCCTACACGTGCAGCACCTACCGAGGAAGCCAGGCGGTCAGCCGCAGCACTGAGGTGAAGGTGCTCCCGCCAGGTGAGCAAGGCCCGTGTGTTCTCGAGAGCCGGCTTGTGCGGCAGGATGCGGCAGAGCGCAGGCTCTGCAGTCCCAGGGACTCGGGTGCAAGTCCTGGCTCACTCTGCCAGTTCCTGGTGGTGCGACTCAGGGCAAGAGGCTTAACCTCCCTCCCCTCATGTGTACAGCGGGTTACCCCAGCGCCTGACAGGGACATAGTGAGGAGGAAGGAAATAATGCGTATGGCAGGCATCTGGTAATCATGTAATAGGTGATGTTCAATATCATTTTTTAGACTTACTGGTTTTGAGAAATATGATTGAATGGAACTTCATCATAATACTTAAGGCAGAAAGATCATTAAAATCTGTCCATTCTAATTAGGGTGGCAAAACGTGGTCCTATGATTGAAAAGTGCCTTTATGGCCCTTTCTTTGACCACATAACCCAGAAAGGAAAGGGCAGGGATTAGTGTTGCCGTTTTACAAATGAGACAGGCATCTGGAGAGCTCAAGCGACGTTCCCACAAGTCATGCAGCAAACTTGTGGCCAAGTTGGTGCTAGAACCTAAGTCTTTTGACTTTCATATTTAATGTTCTTTTCACTAATCCATTACAGCCTTAAGTGGGCAAAATTTTACTTGCATTATTCAGTAATTTGATATTTTAGCCTTACATTCTCCAGCTCTTGCTCTGAGTTATATTTCAACAAATCTAAACACTGTATTGTAACGTGCATTCCTTTCATACCACTAAGAAAAAAAGGGCTGTCAATTAAAGGGCACATTGCTAAGGCCCCGTAGTTAATATGCAGTCCAATTTGACAGGTGTTAAAATATGAAAGTAAGTGCATCTCATAATTGATGCAACAGACTATGGTTTAATGTTCACACTCACAAGAGCTCCATATCAAATAAGCCAGAGGGAAGGGAGGAGGGGGCTCTGCCCCACACTCACCCTGCCCTCCCATGCACCCTCCGTCTGCCTTCACTGGCTGAACAGCAGGGCAGTGCCCCGGGCTACCAGCTGGCTCTCACAGAGCTTGCAGCAGACGGGGCGGGGGGCGGGGAGGGTGTGCCAGGGCGCTCCCTGCGCTGGCCTGTGGGACAGACATTCACGACTGCCAGGGCTGCAGCCCCGCCGGAGGGGCACTGTTACACTCGGGGTGGGGGCCCGGCTGCCCCCGGGCAGTCAGAATGAGGGTGGGAACTGGTCAGTGCTGGAGGTGGAAGGTCCCTGGTAGAGATGTTGCTGAGTGAGCTGGACTGACACTTGGGCCTCTGGTCTGTGAACCCCTTGGAACAGTGAGTGGGACTCGCATCCCCAGGGCCCAGCCCCAGTGCTGGGCATCACTAGGTGCTCAGATACGTGGTGACCGAGGGCATGCACGCTTACCTGGGTCACAGCACTCTGCTGCAGCGGCTATGTTTCACCTCTGATCATGCCCGGCAAATTGATCTCTTGTCTACATAATAACCAAACTTTCAAGACTTGAGACAAACCAGAATGCAGATTTATTTGAGAAAGAGTTGAGAGGAGGACCCTGACGGTCATGTTTGTGACCAGCTACAGCCATGTCTATGTGGGAAACCAACATGCAATCAGAAACTTGCTTGCTGAAGGCTGGCAGGGCTCCTGATGATGTGTGGCTGCCAAGCCGAAATGGCCGGAAGGGACCTGCCTCTTGGAAACAGGGCCTCCGTCGGGCCACTGTTCTCCCACCCATGCTGGATGAGCGTTGCTAACCTTAGACGTTTTGGGAGCGTCTTTCTTGGCTAGAAGTGATCTCCCTCCTAGATGTATTCGTTGCACTGGTAGACCTCAAGTGCGCGCCCCTGCGCGGGTCTCCCTTTGCCCTGGTCCTGGTGTGGCGGCGCACTAGAATTGGTATCAGCGTCAGGGCAGGGGGGGTGCTGGGGCCCGCTCCACTCCAGTGTAAGGGACACACTTCTACTGTGAGGACTTCTCAACCTTTTTGTCTGTATGATTGGTTGGAAACAGAAAATACTTTAGGGATAAAACACAGGGGTTGCTAAACACTCACATTTAGCTATGGTTACTGTGTGCCCAAGGGGCTATTATATCTCCCTCTCAGGTGAGGAAATGGGGCCCAGACAGCTTAAGCATCTCACCCAAAGCCAGCCAGATGGTAGGTAGGCGGGCCAGGAAGTCTGGCTTTTAACCGCAATGCTGAGCACCTGCCGACCTCTGGGCCCTGTGATAAGCCCAGGGGCTGCAACAGATGGAAGTTGATAGAAAAGGTACTGATTTTTTTAAACCATATGCATAAATGGCTCGCTGTTCATGTAAGTGTATGTAGTTAGCACTCATATGACAAGCCTTCGTAGTCATGATCTTTTAGTTGTACTCTGGAAGGAAGCACAGGGGAGCGGGAATAAGCCTTCCCTAGGCCCAGGTGGTCTGAATTTAGGGAAGGTGCTACTCAGGCCTAAGCCAAGTGGGGAGCAAGGGCCCCTTCCAGAAAGAAAAAGGAAGTCAAGTCGAGAGGCCACGTCATTCCTGAGGTGAAGTAGCAGAGTGAAGCTCTCACAGGGATTTATAAGATACAAAAGCTCCGAGTCAATGCAGAGGAGGAGACAACCAGCGCTTTCTGCTCGGTATAGTATTGTATATAGGAAAACACAAGGCTGTTTTCCTATCATCTTGCCTAATAAACACTGCATTCTCAGTGGGGAAGAGGAAAAACTGGAAATATGGGGAAACTAAGAGACGAAGATAAGCTAGGACTACTTAAGGCACAGAATTTGAGGTTGGAGAAAACCAGCAGTGAAAGAAAGAGGGCAAGGGAGCTCTTGCCAACTCAATATTTTCCTTAGACCTGATCCTACTCTCTTCTTTCCATCTAGAGGCCAAGGCAGGTGCCATTCATCTGTTCAGGTCTCAACAGTGGAGTAGGGAGTAAACTTCCAGAGATGTTCGGTCATCTAGTCAGTCACTATATGGGAGCCTGCTATGGGCTGGGCACTGGGCTGAGGCTGCAAAAGAATAGCAGGGGAGAAGAACTGCATGCGAAAGTAAGGCCGGCAGGGGTGCAATGTGACTTCTGGTCAAGGTAGCAGAGTAGATAAAAGTGTTTGCTTTCTCCTATGATCGCATTAAATTATATGTCAATTATAGAACAATGATTATTGAAAACCATCTGAAGACTAGCTAAACAGAAGTCCTGTAACTAAGGAGAAATGGAACAAACCATGATGAGATGGTTAGGAGGGAAAGAATGGGCAGGTTCCACACCCATAGTGTGGGGATTAAGAATCACGACTGTTATCTTGGCTTTGGAGTTCCCCCTGAGGAGTAGGGGGTCCCAGCCCTGGGGCACCAGTGCCAGAAAGAGGAGCCCCCATAACATGTGGCTGTGAAAACCAGCAGGGACTGAGCCCAGGATGGCTGCAGGAGTCCCAGGTGTTCCCCTTGACGGGCCCATGCATCAACTCACTTGCTCACAGACTCGCTCATTCTGGGCTCCAGTGTGGGGAGGGAGACAGTAGCTTGAAGGGCACCAGGGACATACAGGGAGGAACCAAATTGATAGGTGGCAATCTCTGGGAAAGAACCATTGCTCCTTTGTTGAGCTCTCTCTGTGTCAAGCTGGCAGGGGCAGGTGGGTGCCAAATCTCAGCTCTTCATTAACCTGGTTAACATGGTTCACCTCACCCCCACTTAACCTATAGCCAACCCAAGCCACTTTCAGTTGTTTTTCCACAAAAGCAGTGGAAAAGCACAAAAGCAGGCCTTGGCTGTGAACTTTTGTAAAATCTCCCTATGGTCTAGAAACCCTAAACAAGCAGCTACTGGCCTCAGCACGCCCTGTATCTCTTGCTAAGCAGCCCCAAGCCTGGCACAGGAGGCAATTGGTCCCAATGTGCATTATAACTCCCGTCAGATGTCCCCACGCCTGGTATAAGCTGCAGCCAGTGTTGGCCTGGAGTGCAGCTTCAACTAAGTGGCCACAAACCTGACACTAGGGGCAGCTGGCCTTGGTTCACAGATTAGTCTCTCCCAGGTGCCTCTAGGCCCAGCACAAGTGGTAACCAACTGCAGATCACTTTGTAGCTCCCATTAGGCAGCCCCAAGCTGGGCACAAGTGGTGGCTACCTTGGCCTGCACCAGAGTCCTTCCCAAGAGCCTCCAGAACCAACACACTCCATGGCCGTTTAAGACCACACCAGAGTACTATCCAGTCGGTTCCACAAATGACAGACCAGAATGGCAGACTTGGCTGGCACCAGAGCTCTGCTAAAGCAGCTCCTGCTCCAGTGGGTCAGCCCCCAGACAGCCTGTCTGTTGTAGTCATGGCTGGTCCTTACAGCCAGTCAGCCTGAGGGTCAGTCCCACCCACTGACATGCCAACAGCAATCAAGGCCCAATTACAACAAGAGGGCACACACAAGGGACACTCCTGGAGCACCCAGCTCAGATGAAGAGGGAGAATGCTCCACTGGGCCTCACAGGACACCTACTATATAAGGGCACTCTGTCAAGACTGGGAGACTTAGCAGACCTACCTAATATATCAAGACAAAAACAGGGAGTGAGACAGAACAGGACAAAACTCTATAAAAATAAATAAAATGGGCACAAGCAATCTACCAGATAGAGAATTCAAAACACTGATTATAAGGATGATCAATGTATTTAGGGGAAGAATAGATGAACTCAGAACCTCAACAAAGAGAAATCATAAAGAACCAGTAAAAAATGAAGACTACAAAAACTGAAATGAAGATTACATTAGAAGGAATCAACAGGAGATTAGATGAAGCACAGGATACAATCAGTGATCTAGAAAACAAAATAGTGAAAAATTAAGAAAAAGATTAAAAAAAAAGATAGTTTAAGGGATCTTTGGGATAAACCAACATTCACATGATGGGGTACCAGAAAGATGAGAGAGAGCAAGGGATTGAAAACCTATTTGAAGCAATAATTATGGAAAACTTCCCTAACCTGGCAAAGGAAATAGACATACAAGTCCAGGAAGTGCAGAGAGGTCCCAAACAA